CTGGACTTTCGTAAAAATTTTGTCGGCCTGTGTAATTGGAAGGGGCAGTGTCTCGTGTATATGGCGGATGGGTAGGACTCCCCATTTAAGCATTTTCACTGGTATTGCAATATGTGGCCGAGCATTGTCATGCTGTCAGTCACTTTGTCATGTCTCTGCTTGTATAGTGGCCGTTTTTCATTCAATGCTCAGCTCAAACGCACAGTTGTAGTCGATAGTGAATCCCGTGATGGTTCCATTTGGTGTGAGCAGCTCGTAATAAACTACATCCAGCTGATCCCACCAAATGCAAAGCAGAAGTTTGGAACTTTGTATAAATTGCTGTGCCAACGATGTTGTGCATGGCCAGACTTGACCCATAATTTTCTTAGTACACTTAGGACTATTGTAGCGTATCCATTTTTCATCTCCAGTTATGATACGATGCAAAAAAAAATTTTCTTTTCTGCCATTGAAGCAGCTGTTCACAAGTGCTAAGACGTCTTTTGGCTTCAACTCGTATGGCACCCAATGTCCTTGTTTTTGTTCCTTAATGCTTTTTAACGTTTCGAAACGGTTGTGTGATCATCAATTTTGTAAGTTCAGCTAGCGTCTGACATCAGTCTTCATGAAGTAATGCCTCCAACTCTTAACCTTCAAACTGTTTTGGTGTGCCATCTTTTTTATCTTCAAAATCATTATTTTTGAAGCATCTAAACCAATTTCTGCATGTTGTTTGCGACAGAGTATGGTTACCATAAGTCTCAACAGGAATTTTGTGCGCTTCAACTGCAGATTTTTGAGTAGTGTACATACAGAGTGTCGCGCTTAAATGTGATACAAGCCTGTAGCTTCTTTGTTTTTCGACCGATTTCAATTTTTTTTTTTTAGAATACAATTAAAAAAACTAACTGTAATGCTGCTGTTTTTATTAATGCAATTCACGGCCAACTAGGACGCGTTTTTTTGACGTCAAAACAGCTAATTGGTATCAGCGATTTTTTTTCCAAAAAACAGATTACGTATTCTCATTCAGCATCCCTTAAAATGTGTTATCACCAAGTTTCATCAAATTCGATGCATCTTCAGACGAGCACTAGTTGGCCGTTTATTGCATTAATAAGAAACAGCAATATCACAGTCAGAGTTTTCTTTACCATACATTTCATAAAAATTTTTGTTAAATCGGCCAAAAAATAAAGTTACAGTCTTGTATTACATTTCCCGACATCATAGAGTGCTCGCCTGAAGTTGTATTGATTTTGATGAAACTTGGTGGTAAGACGTTTTAAGGGATGCTGAATGAGCATACGGCATCTGTTTTTTGGAAAAAAAATCGTTAATACTAATCAGCTGTTTTAATGTCAGGAAGCCGCATCCTAGTTGGCCGTTTATTGCATTAATAAAAATAGCAGTATGACAGTTAGTTTTTTTCCCAAATAAAAATTTTTGAAATCGGCCAAAAAATAAAGAAGTTACAGGCTTGTAGCATATTTAAGCGCAACGCCCTGTACACTGAATTTTAAGCTTGCTTATAGTACTTCTTGATAGGTGCGTTACCATCTTAAACTACACGCTTGCAGTTCTAGTAACGCCATCTGTTGGAAAACAGCGAGAACTTATTCAACGTCCCATTATATTTTTTCCCTATTTGGGTATTCTTAAGCGTGAGGTTTACACGGAAAATTTTGTGTAGAAGATTGAAGTGAACGCAGTTGAAGAATTACACAACCATAAAAAATACCATGGAAATAATCAGGCAGAAAGCTTGCTTCTAACACCATGCATGGATGCACCGAGAGATAGTATGTGTGAATGAAAGTAATGATATTTTCTTTGCTTCCGAGTTTTCAAAACAATGTTTACTTTTAGTTCTGTTCTACAACTAGCTCAGTATATGACGGTTTTTAGGTCCGAATTCTTTTAATAGTAAGTAGGAAATTGCTCAAGAAACAAAAGTTACATAGTGCCGATGTGTGCTTTCACCTTGAGGGTGAATGCCACCCCTTCTCGGGGGTGGCAATGAAGGCATCCATTTTAATCACAAAAATCAATGGAGGGATGAATTATAAGCAAAAAATGCTCTATAACATTTTTCCAAAAATTAATATGAATTGAAAATGTTGATTTTTCATCTAAAAAGTGCATATTTTTCAACAATTTTTGATAAATAACTCGAAAACCTTGCGTTTTATCGAAAAACCTATATGAAGCAAACTAAAGCTTTTGAAATAACGAATCGATTTATTTTTTGTTGTTACGGTAGATGTAATAATAACCGAGTTATCACTCTCTAAAGGTGATTGTTTATTTTTCGGAAAGTAAAATCGAACCTTTTACGGTAAAATAATGGCGAAATAATAATTTTTCGAAGAAAATTGATATAACCTTTTTTAAAGTGCTTGGACAGAACTTTAAATGCGTTTTGAAAAAATTTCGTAGCTCAAAAACTCACGGTTTTGAAGAAACAAAGAGTTGATTTGTAGCTCTTGCAATTCCCTGTAAATTGCTTTTTGGAGCAATGAAAGATATTAAAAATTAAAAAAGTTGTGAAAAAACGAATTGTATTATTCAGTGAAAATTGTCGGATTGTGTAAATGGCTTAATTTCCGATAGTTTCCGAGGCGTAATACACGCACAAACACACACACTAATTTTTATTTTCCCTTTCACTAATTACATAATTTAAGTTTCGAGTTTTAAGTAATCTCGATTACGCCGTTG